GTGTGTGTGTAAAAGACACTGTGTAATTGATTGTATGGGTTTTATGCACATATGCCACTCATGATGTTCATGTTTAGTGTGCATATTAACCCATTTGTTGTATTTTTCCCATGATATGTTTCAGGGTTTTCTTGTGTTGGTGTGTGTGCACATTAGTTGAGTACACACTGAGTTGTAAATGCTGTGTAATGTGGTTATGCAACATGGGGCTGCCAGCCGGTTGGCCTCACTGGAGCATGAAATGGAGTGTAATTGGTAAGTGTGTGGTCTAAAAGCACTATGCAAGAATGGCATATGAAGGTATACACACGCACAGCACATGGTGTGTGCTGGTGGCTTGCAGACAGCTGGGATTTAACAGTCGCATGTGTGCATGTCTGTTTCTGATTCCTCGGTAGGGGGAAGAATCGCCGGCAACAGTTTTTTCCTCTTCCCTCATACGATTTTTACCGGTTCTATATAACTCATATTTGGCTCTTCAGAGTTATCAGTTGTTTTGGATGTCTGAGCTTTAGTGAAATAATTTACTTTGGAGCTAGATGTTAAATTTATTATAAAACAGTAAAAATACACTTTCTGACCTGGCTTGTACACAAGCCTGTGTCTACACAACCAGTGAGGTAATTTTCTAATAGTGTGGGACATTTTATCCTGGGAGATGTTAAAGGATAAATCTGGTGCTGTGTTATTTTCATACATTTGGCCATCGTTCAATAATAATAATATACTCTCCAAGTTAATTGCTGATATTTGGGAACATGAGCAGCAAGATGATCAGACAGGTTTAAAATAAACCACCAGAAGAGTATTTCTGACACTTTGTGTGTGCTCACTTTCAGTGAACAGAGTGTTTTTGTTGTTTAGATAATATAACCGCCTTTGCTGTTTGCATTTCTCACCCCGGCACACTTGGTTGTAGAGTTGATGCCATTTTTGCTTTTCTACCACCATTAAACTATAGTATCAAATGAAAATTAATGAATTTAAAGGGGGCGTATATTGACATAGCGACATTACCTTTGGCCCTACAAGACCCCTGAACTTAATTTCCACTGGTTGGAGGATCAGATGTATGTCAATGTGCTGAAATTGGACACTGTAATTTTGTGTTAGTGACACTGGGGGTTGTTATAGCCATCTAGGTAGAGACCCTTTGTGACTTGATCATCATTTATGATTTATTTTGCTCTCAGTCACACGCTGACACATGTACACTCAGACAGGAGAACATACTGTGCAATTGACCTCTAGGTTATGTGCCGGTCAGGGTGGATACAAGGACAACCAAGGTATTGTCTCTAACAGATTGAGTGGGCGTGTGTGTATAATCAGGTTGTGAAGAGCGACAGTAGCTGTTTCAACAGAGAGCACTTGCATCATTAAATGGGTAATACTGATACCCACTGCTGAAATGTCACTTTTGTTCTTGGCAATGCTCGTTGTTTTTCTAAAAAAAAAAAAAGACCCAACTCTTGGTAATGCTACAAATCTAACATAATTTTGATCAAAAAGTATTTTGTTCCAGTCAGATTGAAGAACATTCTAAAAAAACACAGGGTTAAGCATTTAGTTTTTACAGTTACCATGAAATTTTCACTCACCCTTTCTCTCTAAGTAGTGTGCCACTGCGAAATCCTGCATCAGTTCCTATCTTGGTTACAGTGTCTTACTTATCGTGTCACTTGTCTAAATGTCTGCAACATTATCTGGGCACAAGCTGGCCTAGGAGGTCGATTCCTGTCAGTGAGTCCTCCTTAACTGCTCTGATTTACATGGTGATCAGAGCGGCTGGGCAACAACTCCCCCATGGTTGGATAGTGCCCCCCCACCCCCATATACACACACACACACACACATACACATAAACATTTACACATACACACAACACACACACACACTACACATAACACTTACACATCACACACACACACACAAATACATAGACACTACTCTCTTCGCAGTGTGGTTTATGGCTGCAGAAGCTCCTATTAGCAACGGCTCATAAAATCTGCGACTGTTGGTCTGTTAAACACTGCTCTGAGAAAGCACACAAGTATAAAGATGCGCACCATGTTGTACATGTGCGTGTAGGTACACACACACACAAACACAGACCTTTTTCTGCAATACTTTTATCTTAACCTAGAATTTAAACCTTTCACTTGGAGACAGTGAAAATGAATCATAACACAATAGAGACATAGTGTAGTGACTTATACCAGATGTTCAGTAACTGATATTTTCACTATCTATTAATCAGGCTATTAATATTTTCATCATTTATTTTTTCTTGTTCGAGCAAAATAGAGCAATAATATGAAACAGATAAAAGTGGAAAATTTCAGTTGTTGTTCAATGAATCGAAATTGTTGTTGATTCACTTTATGTCGATCAGCTAATCGTTTCTGCACTACTATAACTAAAACTTTACTGACATTTTCCTTAATGTTTTTGACAGATGCCTCATAATGAGGATCTATTGAAGGCAGCATTTCAAGTTAGATTGATTGCCTGAAAATGTCAAGCGAAGCCATGCATGTCATATATAAAGAACCCGGATTGCATAGATTTCTACGACTACTCACTTGCATATTCTTTCAAGGTATCTTAATACACTCCGTCTCACTCCGGTGTGCCTTGCCAAACAGTATTGGAGAATCACAGTCCCAGTGGGAACGGAGCGTGTAACCCTGCCAACTGTTTGTGCCACATCCTACATACTGAGCAACACAGGCTGTGAGGCTGCAGTTATTGTGCAGTGCTTGTCCTCCATTCTGTTAATGGCTTTATCTCACTCACTCTGCTGAAAGAGAATGTCACCAGTTCAATTAGGACTGGGAAGAAGTGGCCGTGCAAATGTTTTTTGCATGTGTATGTGTGCAAATGTGCAGTTGGTCCTAGATTTCAAGTAGGTTGATAGTGGCACTCAAGCTATACTACTCTGAAAAGGTCATCTCTCATCTGTGTGTGTGTGTGTCGTGTGGTGTGTGTGTGTGGTGTGTGGGTGTGTGTCAGTTAGCATTGCCTGGTGTGTGGTTTCTCTTTGAGTAGAATGTGTAGTGAATCTTTTAAAAGGAACATTGTGGTCTTGTAGGATAAGCAGCTTGTTGAGAGCAGTCTCCTCGGTGTTGAACTGGGTTAGTTCCTCAGGCTTCCACTGCATGCTGTGATTAACCCTTAATGATTAAACAGGAAACCTTCATCCTTCAGATTCACGTAACCAAGTGATTGGGTGTAACAATACCTTGTAATCTTGTAAATTGTTTTTCTTTAAATAATAAAAAATATCTTTATATTTGCCCAAAAATAAAGAGATAGAAGAGACAGACAGCATGGACAGAAGAGAGAGAGAGAAGAGAGAGAGGATGAGAGACAGAGAAACCTAAAGAAAAAAGCCACAGTGACTTCTGGGTAATTTTATTAATGTATGTGATAGCTATAATAATAAGTAAATGGCAGATTAGAAAAGAGGAATTAAAGTTTAAATTAAATTGAAAGTTGGTGTTGTTGCTAGCCATATAAACGCTGAGGAATCATGTGAAACTAACTGTGTTCTGACCAAAGCATTGTAATTATATTCAATTATCTGTCTGTACAGGTATTCCTGTTCATTAATTCAGTTGCCCCAGAGAATTAACAATTATGTGTATTGCTGCTCAGAATTTGTGCTTCAATAATAATTTATAATGCACTCTTGCAGGTTATCCCTAATCCTTTACATTTTAATTGTATTAGTTAATTACCTTAATGGTTTCAGATATTTGAATAATCTCAAAACATAGGGAAGTATTGTCCACTTTCACATTTAACCACCGCTTAAAATGCTCTGTGACACATGAACAAGATGTAAACATCTGAACACAATTCATAAGTTGTTTTCATATGAATGCACAGCACCAGGACACATCTGGGTCAGTATTAATGGAGAGAGTGTGAATCACAAAAGCCTGAGTTACACCTTGCTTCCCCTCATTCATCTCTTTACATTTCCATTTATCTTTGAATTCAACCTTCCCCCACAACCCATTTTTTTCCCTTTAAAATTTCTAATATTGTTCGCAGCCTTCCTCCACTGTCCTCTATTCCCTCTGCCTTCTGTGGCATGCCCCTCTATGTTCTGTCGTTTACTCTCCCCTGTCTGATACCTCCCACCTGATCCTCCTCTTCCATGTTTTTTTCTCCCTTACACTCCAGAGAGTACGAAGGAGGCAAATGAGGAAGCCAGAAGAGCTGACTTTAATTCCCAGGGCCAGGTATCTGATTGAATTAGGACAAGGTGGGAGAGGATGTTGAGGATTTGGTGGTCAGCATGAATGTCTGATACCCTGCTGTGTATGTCGTGTATATGTGCATGTGTGCATGCATGCGTGTCAGTTGTCAGTTGTCAGTGCCATTATAAATGGGGAGGCTGTTCACTGTGTTAAGTTACTGCCTCTTTCTATAGAGGTATACATGTCCAGTTCTCCATGGAAAGCCATCACTCAACACCACAAAAAGCCATTTGTATCCACGCTTGGCGGGACAGTAAGGTGGCAGGGGGTGCATCTTTGTGGTAGTGCAAAGCATCTTGTTGCGAACTGGTGTGTGTTTTTTTTTAATTTTCGGTGTGTGATGAAGAGGAGTTAGTCCCCAACTAGGGAGAACAAAGCTCGATTTGATGGATTTAAAGCTCTATGTGTTGTCGGAAAACCTCTCTCTAATGCGGTGCATTGCTGGTGGACAAAGACAGGCGGAGAGTTTTTGTGTGTGTGTGTGTGTGTGTGTGTGTGTTGCGTGTGTGTGTGTGTGTGTTTGTGTACAGATATGCATGTGTCCCCATGTTTTAGTGTTTCAAATGAGTTTTAATGAGAATGTACTAAATTTGATTTCATTCTCCTTCCAGAGGTCCTTCCGTTCTTTCAGTAACGATGACCGCCACGTCATGGCAAAACACTCCACCATCTACCCCTCCTCTCAGGAGCTGGAAGCCGTACAGACGCTGGTCTCCACTGTCGAGTGCGCCCTCAAACACGTCTCTGATTGGCTGGATCAGAGCATCGGTGATGTCAACAGCCAGGTCAACACCCACCCAGCAGACAGCACAGAGGATGATGATCCTGGTGATGAGCCCAGCGACGAAACTGAGGATTCCAGTGACAGCTACAGGTGGGGTTGCAGTGACTCACAGTAGATTGAATTATTATTTTTTGCTTTCAATTATTTTCTTTTTTATTATCATAAATTGACCGTTAGTTGGTATATAAAGTGTGAGAATCTTGACATGACCTAGGAAGCAACATCTTCCTGCTAGTCACACAAGACAAGAAATTAGATCGACATTTTGGGTAATTCGCTTATTCTCTTTCTTCCAGTGAGGAAATTAACTTAAAACCACTTGACAATCTCTGGGCACTGCTTCCGTGGTCGGCTATCTTCATGAATCTTTTTATTAAGGGTTCACTACTTCTCATTAAGGGCTTGAATTGCCTTGTCGGATCTTATTTTATAATCTTAACTGGCACCTTGTATTTTAATCTGTTAATCGTACAGCTACTTACCAAAGATTAGATAAAATATTAATACGTATTGACATTGACAAAATCAATTTATTAGACACAAAATTGGAATTAGGATTTTAGTATGTGTTTTTTACTTTTAAAGATGTACATAAAAAAGTAATTTTCCTTTCAGATTTCTGTAGTATTTCAAGAGCCAAGCATAGCCTTTAGTGAAAAAGGGGTAACGTTTAGATAAATTGAAATGTGTTTGTCCTTACACTTAAAAACCAAATAAGATGTTACCAATGGTTTATTTTTCTTTAAAAACAGAGAGTCCAATAGTGGTGGTGTGCTGTGTGGAGTGATGAGGATCGGCCTGGTGGCCAAAGGCCTCCTGATCAAAGGCGACATGGACCTGGAACTCGTGCTGATGTGTAGAGACAAACCCACACAGACACTGCTGGACACTGTCTGTCACAATTTACCCACACAGATCGAGGTTAGAGACACACCAACACTCACACACTCACACAGATCCATGCTTACGGCCATATAATGCTGCTCCTTAGTCTTTTGTTTTCTCTCACACACTCGCTCATAAACATGCTGTTGACATTCACACACACATTTGAGCAATGCATCTTAGCTTTGCATCAAACCTTTAAGGGATTTAGTCTACCAAATTGAATCCAAGAAAGTTCTATTTTCATTGCACAGTCCTCTCCTCTCTTCAGAAATTAAGCTATCTGGACGAGCTTCCACGTTTTATGAGTGTCTCTGCTTGAATTTGCCAACTCTCGCTGTATAAGTTCCTGTGTGAGTATAAGGAGAAGCGTCCTGAGTGTTGGCATACGTAGGCAAGCGACAGCATTATTGTCAAGTGAGAAGTTGAGAGGTGTTTTAGTATGTATGAGTCATGTGTGATTAATGCTCCCGTCACTACCTCAGTGTCATGTGTCCTCATTAAGAAGTCATATCACAGAAATGAAGCTCCTGGCGTTCATACACACACACTCTTTTATTTGTTGCAAAACAAAAGAGAGTGCACACAGAGTGCAGGCACAAATATGCATATTTTTCATCTTTTTCGACACACATTGTGGCAGCCAGGTAAATTTTTGCATTCAGTAACAATCTGTTAGAAGAGAAAGTATTAAGCTACGAACGTGTTAAAAACTCCCCAACCTGACCAGCTAGTGCAGAAATTACTCATTGAATAAATTCTGCCCCTGTGCTTCTTCTCTGCTCGTTCTCTTTTTAAGCAGTTAAGTAGTGTGAGAGAGAGAACGACAGGAAGGAAAAGTGTGTGTGTGTGTGTG